GTAACAGTGACTGTTGACTCTATTATCTGGTCTGTAGGTCAGTGAGCCTGTATGTCGTTGTCACCAAGGCAGTCTTCACACAACCTCAACTCTAACACATCACACCAAACTTGTGTATCTGAACGTAACTGCGGTAACAGTGACTGTTGACTCTATTATCTGGTCTGTAGGTCAGTGTGCCTGTATGTCGTTGTCACCAAGGTGCAGCCTACACACAACCTCATACCACACAGTACCTCAACTCTAACCCATCACACCAAACATGTGTATATGAACGTAACTGTGGTAACAGTCTCTGTTGACTCTAGTTTCTGATCTGTAGGTCAGTGTGCCTGTATGTCGTTGTCACCAAGGTGCAGCCTACACACAACCTCACACCTCACAGTACCTCAACTCTAACCCATCACACCAAACATGTGTATATGAACGTAACTGTGGTAACAGTGTCTGTTGACTCTAGTTTCTGGGCTGTAGGTCAGTGTGCCTGTATGTCGTTGTCACCAAGGTGCAGCCTACACACAACCTCATACCACACAGTACCTCAACTCTAACCCATCACACCAAACATGTGTATATGAACGTAACTGTGGTAACAGTGTCTGTTGACTCTAGTTTCTGGGCTGTAGGTCAGTGTGCCTGTATGTCGTTGTCACCAAGGTGCAGCCTACACACAACCTCACACCTCACAGTACCTCAACTCTAACCCATCACACCAAACATGTGTATATGAACGTAACTGTGGTAACAGTGTCTGTTGACTCTAGTTTCTGGGCTGTAGGTCAGTGTGCCTGTATGTCGTTGTCACCAAGGTGCAGCCTACACACAACCTCATACCACACAGTACCTCAACTCTAACCCATCACAGCAAACATGTGTATATGAACGTAACTGTGGTAACAGTCTCTGTTGGCTCTAGTTTCTGATCTGTAGGTCAGTGTGCCTGTATGTCGTTGTCACCAAGGTGCAGCCTACACACAACCTCATACCTCACAGTACCTCAACTCTAACACATCACACCAAACATGTATATATGAACGTAACTGCAGTAACAGTGTCTGTTGACTCTAGTTTCTGGTCTGTAGGTCAGTGTGCCTTTATGTCGGTGTCACCAAGGTGCAGCCTACACACAACCTCACACCTCACAGTACCTCAACTCTAACACATCACACCAAACATGTATATATGAACGTAACTGCAGTAACAGTGTCTGTCGACTCTAGTTTCTGGTCTGTAGGTCAGTGTGCCTGTATGTCGTTGTCACCAAGGTGCAGCCTACACACAACCTCACACCTCACAGTACCTCAACTCTAACCCATCACACCAAACATGTGTATATGAACGTAACTGTGGTAACAGTGTCTGTTGACTCTAGTTTCTGGGCTGTAGGTCAGTGTGCCTGTATGTCGTTGTCACCAAGGTGCAGCCTACACACAACCTCATACCACACAGTACCTCAACTCTAACCCATCACACCAAACATGTGTATATGAACGTAACTGTGGTAACAGTGTCTGTTGACTCTAGTTTCTGGGCTGTAGGTCAGTGTGCCTGTATGTCGTTGTCACCAAGGTGCAGCCTACACACAACCTCACACCTCACAGTACCTCAACTCTAACCCATCACACCAAACATGTGTATATGAACGTAACTGTGGTAACAGTGTCTGTTGACTCTAGTTTCTGGGCTGTAGGTCAGTGTGCCTGTATGTCGTTGTCACCAAGGTGCAGCCTACACACAACCTCATACCACACAGTACCTCAACTCTAACCCATCACAGCAAACATGTGTATATGAACGTAACTGTGGTAACAGTCTCTGTTGGCTCTAGTTTCTGATCTGTAGGTCAGTGTGCCTGTATGTCGTTGTCACCAAGGTGCAGCCTACACACAACCTCATACCTCACAGTACCTCAACTCTAACACATCACACCAAACATGTATATATGAACGTAACTGCAGTAACAGTGTCTGTTGACTCTAGTTTCTGGTCTGTAGGTCAGTGTGCCTTTATGTCGGTGTCACCAAGGTGCAGCCTACACACAACCTCACACCTCACAGTACCTCAACTCTAACACATCACACCAAACATGTATATATGAACGTAACTGCAGTAACAGTGTCTGTCGACTCTAGTTTCTGGTCTGTAGGTCAGTGTGCCTGTATGTCGTTGTCACCAAGGTGCAGCCTATACACAATGTCATACCTCACAGTACCTCAACTCTAACACATCACACCAAACATGTATATATGAACGTAACTGCAGTAACAGTGTCTGTTGACTCTAGTTTCTGGTCTGTAGGTCAGTGTGCCTGTATGTCGTTGTCACCAAGGTGCAGCCTACACACAACCTCATACCTCACAGTACCTCAACTCTAACACATCACACCAAACATGTATATATGAACTTAACTGCAGTAACAGTGTCTGTTGACTCTAGTTTCTGGTCTGTAGGTCAGTGTGCCTTTATGTCGTTGTCACCAAGGTGCAGCCTACACACAACCTCACACCTCACAGGACCTCAACTCTAACCCATCACACCAAACATGTGTATATGAACGTAACTGTGGTAACAGTGTCTGTTGACTCTACTGGTCTGTAGGTCAGTGTGCCTGTATGTCGTTGTCACCAAGGTTCAGCCTACACACAACCTCATACCTCACAGTACCTCAACTCTAACCCATCACACCAAACATGTGGATATTGAAATAACAGCAGTAACAGGTAGAGAAAATAACCATTAAACGGGCTCTTTTTAGGAGATAATGACATGTAAAATTTAATTTTTGAGAAATATAAAGATTTTATTTAACTGCAACTATGCCTATTAATTTAAAATGGGTTATTTTTACCGCTCCCTACTTATAAAAATCCAAACATTTATGTTACGCTTTTCCAAAGGACTCAGAAGAATGACTGTAATAACAACTTTAAGCAGTTATGCTAACAAATTACAAATTGTTTTCCTGTACCTAATATTTGTGTATAACATGAAAGTGTATTAAATATATTTGAAATAGATTCTTTAAGCTACCATACGCATTCTTATAGCGATACAATCTATCATGGGAGAATATTGGAATCTATTTAGTTGCATTTATTTTTTGTCCTATAACGCTAGGCACGAGCCCGATATCGTTTTTCACAGTACTTAAGGCTTTACCTGGTGGTTGCAGGATTATCACTAAGATAAAATCCATTGGTGATTGGCGGGATTTGAACCTTGAACCTCAGGAACCGAAGTCCCCCGCACTCTAACCACTAGACCAGCTCGCCCCTCCCCCATTTAGTTGTCATAGGACCATAAAAGAACCATAGTTGTCATAGGACCTTTTGAAAAGACCTATCGTTTCAGATTTCAAAACAAAAAAACCGATCGTGTGACCCCTCAGATTTATTGGTTTTCTGCATTGACATAAAAAAATATATCAATTGGGTAATGTGTTTTAATTTGTTTAGCACTTTACAGCCAATTTGAATTTTTAATAGATTTACGGCGATTTCCATTCGCCATCACCCCTCCATGGGATTGTTATCCTACTCATGTCAATAATTGATATAATTACCATACAGAAATATTTCAGAGAATTTAACTCATACAGAGATTTTAAGAGGCTAAACACACTCCTATCATTTCATCTTATGGAGTTGAGGATTTTTAGTAAATATTTTCCGTTATATCGAACTTTAGCATCCTAATCGCGTTTAAATACTATAAATTGGTCTTCATACTTGCATCTATGCAATCCAGAAGAAAAATATTTGTGCACAAATTTATATACTCTTTTTTAAATTTTCAAGATGCCACGATTTAATATTTTTTTTAAATACAAATGAGATTTTTTATATTCAAATCAAAGATTTAACACTCAATTTTTGCGGCAAACCTAAGTACTTTAATGTCTATGTCAAGTCAATGTTTAAGTATAAACGGTCTCAAGGTAGTGTATTTAAGTATAAACTGTATTAACTATGAAACTGTTTGTATGGAATTCTAATAGCTGGAAATTCACTTAAAAAGTCTTCAAGTTTATGTTTTATTTGTTGTTGTATTTATTAAGAAACCCGGTGAAGGATATTTATATGTTTTCGGCCATATTGTAAGTTAAAGTTTTTTCGTTAATACAAGTTGTTTGTCACTGTTGACAATTAATTGTAAAATAATTGTTTACACGAGATGGGTTAATCGTGTACTAACTATGACTGATCTAATATTGCTTTGTTATTGGAGATGCAGTATGTTTATAGATACTCAATCTTGCCTTCAAGTTTCAAAACGTGTATTAATTGAATGTTCGTTATCAATGGCTCGTAAATATTAAAACGATCGAGAAGAATACTTGCGTGTGATTAACCCTATACAGGCCTACCCTTTTTTAGGCTGACTTTGCGTGGACTATGTAAATTAATTCATCTACATTTATAATTATTGTATTTACTGTATGCTGAAAACGTTTTTTGATTACAACACAACTTATTTACTCCACCTAGCTATTAATTTGTGACATTTTAAGATTTTTGTATGGAATATTACTTATGCTGCCTTTAGTTTAGAATTGTTTTAATTGAACTTCTTTTACAACTATGCATACTTTATAATGTATATGTCTCTAAATATTTAGTTTGGTTAATTTTGAATTCCGACTAATTTAGGCATTTCTGGACGCATTTGTCGCATTTATGTAATTTTATTAACGTATAAAGTAGGGCATTACAATATTTTGCAATTAAATACTAATTAATCAAACCCTTGCAAAAATGTAGACCTGTATAAATATGTGTTAATAAACAATTATATCAACTTTAAAACAAGTTAATTGCGTAGTTTTAACCGTATGTAAAACATACTTAATATTGTCAAAAATAACTACAATGTGGTTATTAAAATATACTATTTTTACCAGTATTCCAAGTTTTACGATTGCTTTACAATACCTGGATCAAAATATTAAACATACGACTGACTATTGAATTATAGTAGCAATCCACTGTCTATAGACTGACCTTAATCATGGTAATCCTAGGAGTCGGTCTGTCCGCGCGTTCAAGTCGCCGCACACGCGGTCACACACACTAGCAGTGCACTCTTCACCCGCAGATGTTCAACACACTGTCCCCACACTACCACTGGCGCGCCGACCACCAGCCTAGCTATATAGACTCGGGCCCGCGCCCCTCACTGCCGGGCGAAAGTAGGCTATATCAGCCGCCGCCGCCGGATTCTAACTTTTTTCAGAAATTTTTGGACAGTTTGGGAATTAATTATGTAAAGCGGGAGAAAAACCAGGTATTTTTCTGGCAGGAGTTGGAGAAATGTTACATTGTATATATTGTACCTTGATATGGTAAAAATTTTAGGTACTTGGGTATTACACAATTATGTAAAAAACACAAATTTTACGAAGCCCGATTCATGTGAAAAAGTAAAATCAGAGAAAATTTTCCTTCAAGTCTATGGAATATAGTTAACAAATTTAATATATTATACACTACATATGCATCCTTGGAAACTACATGTTTATTCTAAATGATAAAGATCTAAAAAAAATTTGTTATTACTCTGCATCATTATGATAAGTTTTTAGACAGTTTATTTTTGATTTTTCAACTCTACAGTTGTTTAACCTTCTCCCAAAGGTATTTGCTATGCTAATTCTAAAATATTTGTGAAAAAGTTTAAGAAGTGGCAGTTTATTTTTCCTGAAGTGGAATTATTTTGTCCTGGTTGTTCTAAATGGAAATACTCTTGCTTTGTTATTTTTATGTAGTGTATTTTATTGTCACTATTTATCACTTAAATGATCTTATTTGCATTTGTATAAAACTTTTATTTCATAGTTTTTAAAATCTTTAATTACAAATATACCATTATTTATGTTATATTTTCATACTTGGCATTAATGTATTATCATTTTTTATTCACCAGTATTTATCTTATAACTTAATGATTCCTCAACACACAACAATAAGGTAGGCTACCTTCATTCACAATTTGTGTTGGCTATAGGTTATCAATATTATTTTTATTATTTAATGTATATTATTTGCCAATAATTGTTGTTTTTTAAACTGTATTGTTGAATAAATAAAGATATTTTGAATTGCATTTAATTGAACTGTTCAATATATAGAAAAGAGCGATCATATTTTGGCCGTCTTTTAATTTAAGTAAACATTTATGTAATATATTTTAAATATGTTTTGTATTTGTATAAAATATTTGTTTAATTCCCTTAGTATTAGTATTAATGTTATAAGAGAATGTTTTCTCAGTTCATAAATAGAGGTTTGAAATAGTCCAAAGGCGAAAACAACTGAAAATCTTTTCAAAATACACTAATAAGTTCTGATTTGACAAATATTTAGGGCCTATTATTTATGATAAATAGTCGCTGGTAAAAAAATGTCAAAATGTAAATTGTTAAAAAGTATATAATAGTGTAAGACACTTTTATTTTGTGATAAACAGAAAGAGCTAAAACAACATAAACTAACTCGTTACAGTTAGGCATACTTTGGTTCCAGTTACCCAGTTAACATTCAACAAAATGTGAACGTACAGATAATTTTGCCGAATATGGAGAGGTCGACGAACACAATATGTAGCAGGTCGCCCTATACATGGACCTGGCCTTGCTCGTCTCAGCCCCGACCCTCCTAGCTCCTAGAGACCGTTACATCATGTCAAACTATCACCTTCCCAGAGAGCGGATCGGATTTGGGCAACAGGATGAGTGTTAGTTAGGATTACTCATGGTAATTGTTAATCGCTTAATCCTTTTCCTGTAGGTTTTTAGAATCGGAATCTCTCTAAAGGTTAAGTAATTACAGTTATACGAGCGTAAACATGTTTCTAAAACCAGTTCTGTCCTTCCCAGATGTAATTTTTCTTATACTCAAATATCCTCTCTAATTAACGATCAGACTTATTATTTCATATAATTGTTTACATAACAACTACAAAACTATTGTATATCAATAGTCAAGTATCAATAAGTCAAATATGCATTAATTACAATTACAAATTAGTTATTAGATTTTGTGTTTTATACGTATTTTTAAATAACAATGTAAACATATATAAACAATTTGTGCCCTATAGCTTTAACTACCATATTCATATAGTTGGTTCCATGAGCATAATGTTACATCCTCATAAGTACTACAGTAATTGTATTCTGTTCAACACATTAGCAATCATCTTTTTGAATCATCCAAACATACCAAAGGATATGTAGGGTTAGTAAAAGAAGTAATATTTTCCTTGAACTTTCAACAATAATGAAGGCGGTGCAATGTTCACTAGAGCACGTCGGAAGCGGAAGTTTTTATTCTTCAATTTTTCCGAGGTCGTGAGTTTGATGATGAGAAAGTCGCCTTCACATCAGTATGCATCCATAACGACCGACAGGTATCAATGTCCGCTGCCAGCCGGAACATCGTCTCAGCCAGCATTATCCAGCAATCCGACCGTCCAGCCCTCCAGCTTTCCAGCTATCCAGCTCTCAAACCCTCCAGCTCTCCAGCCCTCCCGCTCTCCAGCTCTCCAGCTCTCAGGCTCTCAAACTCTCAAACTCTTCGGATGTCCACCTATCCAGATCTAAGGTCGCCTTCTCTCTAACCCTCCAGCTCTCCATCTATCAAGCTCTCCAGATCTCCTGATCTCAGGAATCCTCCAGCTCCTCAGCTCTCCAGCTCTTCAGCTCATTAACATCCACCTCTACAGTTCAACAGCTCTACATCTCTCTAGCTATCCAGCTCTCCATGTAAAGAGCTCAATAGTCATCTCAGGTATCCAGCTCTCAAGCCCAGCTAGTTGACTCTAGATCTCCTGCTATCCACCTATCCAGCTATCCAGCTATCCAGATATCCTGCTCTACAGCTATCCAGCTATCCAGATCTCCTGCTCTCCAGCTCTCCAGCTATCCAGCTATCCAGCTATCCAGATCTCCAGATCTCCAGATCTCCTGATATCATATATCCCCCAGCTCCCTAGCTCTCCAGCTATCCAGCATACTGTTCTCCAGCTAGCCAGCTCTGCAGATCTCCAGATTTCAGATATCCAGCTCTCAAGCCCTCCAGCGCCACAGCTCTAGGCAAAACAACTTTACGTTAGCCTTATTACATCAATATATAGTATCTTTGGATTATGTTGTAGGGATTGGCGATTAGTATTTATCTAAACTTTAAACTGGTATGGTCCAGACAGTTAATGTTATTATAATTGTGACAATTTAACGTCTGATTTATTATTAAGATTATAAAAAATGTATTCTCAGCAGTTTTTAATTCTTTTTATGACTTTTTAATATTTCAATTTTATAGTTACAGTTATTTTTTTATTAAAAGAATAAATAGTTATTAGCAAAATCACTAATATTGGCTTGGTTCACAATATTTTACGGATTGAGTTGTTTATAAGCTAGTAGCAGATTTCGTGTAAAACATAAACATGTTTCAAAATAAACATTATGTACATTAATCAGATTGCCTAAGGAGATTTCCCCTATTTATCGATTTAATTAACAGATAATTCGGGCTTTTAGCTATGCTGTCTCTGTAAAAATGTAATAATACCTTTCTCTTTTATATTATTGGATTTGTATAACTCATCATACATTTTAAAGGATCATAATCTCAAAATAAAATAAAACGAGATTTTTTAAGTTCATATTTTGATAATATCAAGTTCATGCTATTTGAAAAATTATTCTCAATTAACATTATTTCTCAACATTGACCATCAGAATTAGTTATATTCCAATAATTATGGGAATATCCTAGATGATTTCTTAATTCACAAACCGAGATTTGACCAAACTAAAGGGATAAAAGGTGTTGCATTACTACACTTTTTACACTATGTTAACAAACGCATTTTATAAAGCTATTACATACCATATTATTAGCATAAATATACTGTTGTTCAAAGGTTTATTGCGGACATTTTCCATCACGATTGTAAAAAACAATACACAACGTTTCGGGATCAGATTCCAGATCCCGAAACGTTGTGTATTGTTTTTTACAATCGTGATGGAAAATATCCTAAATAAACCTTTGAACAACATTAACTCACCATCACCAACAATGATCCAGCCCTCCCGCTCTCCAGCTCTCCAGCTCTCAGGCACTTATTATTGTGGATTATTGTTGTTATTTTGGGCGATATAGAATACATATACTATTCACTTCTTTTGTGCAGCGTTTGAGATACCGATACGTTTGTTAATCTTAATGTAATAACTCAAAGCAGTTAGAGCGTGGGCCTTCGGTCTCTGAGGTCCCGGGTTCAAATTCCGCCAAATCAACAATGGACTTTAACTAATTGATAATTTAAACCCCTAGTTTTGTGTTAAAACGATCCCGGGCTCGTGCCTAACGTCCTAGGACAAAAAATAGTACAGTAACTCCACTTTTATTTAAGTTAGCATCTTTGATAATTTTAAGGGCTCATCCCTTGTTACCAAATCACCTTTCTGTATTTCTTAGCTAGTAGATAATTTACTCAAAGCCTGATTGTGGTTTTAAATATTCGTTGCAACGATGACCATTCAAAAAGTAACCTGACCGGGGAAAAATAAACTGTATAAATACATGAAAATTACTTTTTCAGACATAAGGTTTCCATTATTGAAAATTTAGAATCAGCTTTGACAGTTCATATTACACATAGACCTAACAAAACAATATATACCTATCAAACTCAAATCTAGACTTTTGTTACTACAATATGTTTACTCTATGCTAGTAACTTAAAAATGTATCTACTAATTAAAAATATAAATTTATTTTTCGTAATTGAACAAAAGCTAGAAGCTTTAACATGGAATGACCTGTATTAAAATATTGTTTTTACGCCAAAACAATGTAAAGCTACCCAAATAAGAGCAATGAGAACCCTCTCTCCCTGTACAAAGAGAACGCATCATAATGCCGGCGACAAAATGATATAGAATTTGCGTAGTCAGTCCCACGGTTGCAGAGACAACTGAAGACTGGCCTGGTTGCATCATTGTTGCACATAGGGGCGTTACAGCGCGGAGTCTTACCTTCACTGAGATAGGGATCAGGTCTAGTCCCTTTCCTTTCCTTAGCAACACGTGTGTGTATGTGTG